AAAAAAAAAAAAAAAAAAACTGGCTGTGGGCCTGGCCTGATAGTTATGACTTACGGTACGGAGTTTAGCTTCAATGGCAGAGACAAAATGTTGGCAAGTCGTACCAATGAACCTGGTGCTAGCACCTTCGCCTCAACCCTCACCATGATAAAGAGCTCGAGGGTGGAGGGGTTCACAGGTAGGCAACAGACTCCTCAGTGCATGATCGTGGACCGAGCTAGAAAGAGGCAGCAGGAGATAGGGCAACATATCCCAATCCTCGTCTGAAAAACTGAAATCAATCTTTTTGCAAAACTTGATGGATCTTGCCTTGCAGAACAGTTTTCCACATCTATAACTTGGATAATTCCTCTACTTAGTTACTTGGTGATTTAACTGCGGATAACATGGCTAAACGAAAATTGATGCAAGTTGTGGCAATCAACAATTCAACATAAGCGAATTTACCAAACCCATTTACATACCAAAACAAGTACAGAAGAAACATATCAGTTTCACAATTACTTGAGCACCAAAGAACAAGCACTGGAGCCAGAACAAATTGAAGAACAAGCACTAAGTTTAAACTGAAAGTTAACTTGCAAGAGAACCATCCACAACTGTCTTTCTGTGATAACTTCCAGTATTAAAGAAGCACACACTTGTGGCTATAATTGCCACTTTCCATGACTACCAGCGAGGGGACTAATACCACTGCATCAAGCAGGATATACATAAGACAATCTTCATTCTCAGAAACGCAAATGAATCTTCTTAATTGGTATATAAACAATAAAGTTTAACTCCTGCAACATCAGCACTCTGCCATCATAAAATGTCAAGGCACAACTGAACTTTCTGTTTGCAAGTGCATATTAGTCCATCACAACATAAAGGCATGTCCCTCCAAAAAAAAAAAAAATTCAATTGTCATGAATCTTCATGCCTAAATTTTAACTTCCATTTGGTCCTTTTCTAGGCGTCTACCAACCATCCAGGCTTTAGTCCCCACGGGAGCCACTGCTACTTGCAGAAGACTTCTTGCCACCATACTTCTGTTAAAGATCAAAGAAACCAGAATGTTATCTCACATAATGGCAGTCCTGCAAGAAAAAATGTTACAGTTGCCACGGTTACTAGTGGTGTAAAGCACTTCAAACTCACCTGCTTTCCAACGTTGAATGGAATATATTTGTATTTGATCATATGCGCAATTTGGCGCCTCATTGTAAGGACAAAAAGAACAATCCAGTAACAGAGCAAAATAGGCCAAAAGACAGGAACATCAAACATGGAAAAGAAGGTCATAACAAATGCGATGACGAATGCTTTCGTGAAGGAGTACCTGGATATAATGACAGAAACAACAGGATTACTGGCGTGCATAAATGTATCAAAGATGATTTCCTTAATCCCCTCTTCCTTATCCCACCCCTTCTTGATGGCGGGAGAACCCATTTCTTTTTCTTGCATCGTTTATTATAGATATGTGATTGGTTTGTTTACTTATCCTATACCCAAAAGCAGCTCTATATAGTTAAGAGAAATCATGGAATAGTAGAAACATCTAATCTTAATCAAACACACTACTAAAACTATTTAGCTTTCCAACCACCTATTCTTTTAAAGCAATCCTGAATCTGCAAGAACTATGAGAACCACTAATTGAAGGGCTGTATATAACCAAAAGGTACTCAAGGGTGGATCATTCATGATTGAAGTCTTGGAAGATTACCAGGAATCATTTATCAGGTTATAAAGAACAATGAAAGCAATTACACAACAGGATAACTGAGTTGATACACATACAAACAGCATGGGGGTAATTGCAAGACTAAATGCCACAAGTGGAAAAATTACTTTCATTACCAGAATTTGAACTCAGGAAGTCGGCGAATGAATGGCTTAAATTCATCAGAACCCTTTGTTGGCAGCAAAGGACCATCTGAAGGATCAATTTCAGGATCAACCAGAGGTGATAAAAACCCAATTAGCAAGTTCAGTATGTATATTCCAAGCCCATAGGCAATTATGTAAAATCCTTGAACATAATAAACTCGCAAACAGTAGATAGCCATTACAACAAAAGTCCCAATCCACCTATAGACCGTATGTGGCGTGCTCTTATCAAGATAATACTGATACATCCTCCAAACATCATTTCCCCATTGCGCAACAGGTGATGCCACAGAGGCACCCTCAGCCCCAATTCCCTCCATCCAATTTAATCTTCACAATCCTGCCAATTTGATAATATAAAACAAATTAAACCAGACAAAAAAACCTCATGTGAAAACAGAAAAAACAACATATAACAGTACCCATATCTATGTATGCATGCATATTAAAAATCCAACTGCTACTCAAAAAACATGACCATGCTTGATTTTAACTATACAAGCATGACCATGCTCCAATTACTATAAATGCATGACCATGCTTCAATTTGACCAATACTCATTCAATTTCACGAATTAAAATCCGGTGAGGTGGTACAACATCCAATTTCCAATCAAATCAAAGCATAACACCCACAAAAAAAGAAAGGAGAAAAAAACGCATGAATCTTCTTAATTGCTACAGCAAAAATAAAATTGCTATTCAACAAATTTATGTTCAGAAAAATATTTAAACCAGATTTGAAAGAACCCAGATGACAAAATGTACGCAAGAAACATAAAAACTATCCAATGCAAACAAAACCGTTCACTTTCTCAATTTTTAGGAGCCCGAACTATATAAAAATAAAAACCTTAACAAATTTGAAAGGAACCCAGATGATAAAGGCACACAAAAAGAATCCAAGACCCACAAAGCCCTTTAACTTCCCATATCTCAGGAACCCAAAATGAAGAATATAAGCTTCGTTTAAGCAACCAAATCAAACCCAAAACAGCACAAGATCTAACAACCAAGAAACCAGGAAATACTTTCAAGAAACAGATCTATAATAAAGAGAGCCATAGGAATCAAGAACCATAAACGTACAAGGTGATTGGATGGTAAAAAGTAAGGGATTAAAGGGTGCAAAGAATCAGGAAGCAAACCAGGCAGATAAAAAAAATGGAAGGGGAAGGAAATAAATAGATAGATTATAATAGAAAAGAAAAATAGAGGGAAAAGAAGAGAAGAGAAGCTGACCTTAAATGGACTTGTGGTTTTGGTGGCTAGGGAGTAAAGACTGTCCGTGAGAGAACCAAGGAGAAACAAAAGATAGTTTTTAGAGGCGAAGGATGTGCAGATCTGTATGAATCAGCCAGTGCCTGCTTACAGGGATATAGATTTTAGTATTTTACTGCTTTTTATTTTTATTTCTTTTTGAATTTTCATTAAAAAAAAAAAAAAACAAAGAGATGAGGAGAGTTGAGTTAACGACAGGGAAGGAAGGGTGTTTGAAGAGGGATGGAAAATTATTTGTCTGTAAGTGATGACGTCCAGGTGGCGTTTTTTGGTGGCCTATTCCAGGGAAAAAAAAAAACTTGGAATATTTCTTTATTAGTTTTTATATATTAAAATAAATACTTAAAAAAAATTCTTTCTGTTAGAATTAAATGATACCCACTAATTATTTTAATATCTTATTTC